AGTCACTTGAACCCTCCTGTAAATAATGTTAGGATGACCTGTAAATGAATCTCTGTCTGCATCTGACTCATTCTTACGACACAAGAACACATGCTAGAATCAGACAAATCCTAGCCCCACTATTTGATAGTTGTGTGGCTTTCAGTATGTCGCTTGACTCTGATCTTCATCTTCCTCAATACGAAATGGAGATAGCAACAGGATCTACTCTGGAGAATGTTGAGATGTTGTAAATGAAATAACTAACGTAGGTCAAGTTTTAGCGCAGTGCTTGGCACATCGTAGCTAGTTTCTCTTACTAAATGGAATTTCTGGGCCCCTGTTATAAAATTAATGCCATATGGTCAAACTGCTTTCCAGAAACATGGAACAATTTACATACATGTATACAGCATATGACGCCTCTCATGGCATCTTCTCCAGCAAGGAGTCTATTTTTAGTCAATTTTCCATATTTACCCTATCTCCTTTACAAAGGTTATGTAGGCCTTGGTCAAAAGTTCAGCAAAAGGTCATCTTTCTCCCCATACTCTAAGCCTCCATTCCAGAAACATGGAACAATTTACATACATGTATACAGCATATGACGCCTCTCATGGCATCTTCTCCAGCAAGGAGTCTATTTTTAGTCAATTTTCCATATTTACCCTATCTCCTTTACAAAGGTTATATAGGCCTTGGTCAAAAGTTCAGCAAAAGGTCATCTTTCTCCCCACAATCTAAGCATCCAGCACAGAACCCCACTTTACTGTCACCCCTCCCCCAGGCTACAGAGGAAAAGGTTAAAATGTATGGAGTGAAATGAAAGGTCATGGCATTAAGGTATGAGGCTGTCGATATAGAAGTTCAGAAGCCATTTTTCCACATGCAGCTGAATGATGAAATGGGGGACTAAAGAGGTAGAAAATGGCCCCAAACAAGATTTTTCCTGTCTGCTTTCACCCTCATTCCTACCCAATATATAATCAATCAGCTTGCTATAGAAGTGACCCAGAGAGGTTAAGTGTCTTGCCCAAGGTCACACAGCTGACAAGGACCATGAAGAGTATCAAGACCACAAGGAATCCATGACTCACAACCAGCAAATCTTGTCTACAAGTGTACAACTCCATTTGTGTTTGTCCTTTGAACTCTACTCACAACTTCACCAGCAACATCAGGGTAGACAGTGATAGGGAGCGGCAGACAGCACACACCCGCCAGGGCCTCTGAAAACCAAGATTCATGACCTGTGCCAAGGTCAGTCCTGAGAAAAGACTGAATCATCTGGCAGGCACCGTTTGGAGCCATGCTTCAGAAAGGCCCCTGTGGTCCAGGTGGGGGTGCCAGGCCCTTCAGAGACCCACTTCTTTCCTGCACCATATCTGTCTCTCTCTGGTTATTTTTTTCCTACATATAGAAACTCCCTAGAAACAGCCAGTTACTTGGACATCTTGTTTAATTAAAAAGATAAGAGGATAAAGGACAAGTTTACAAAGCAACACAGTAAACCAGAAGTCATTGTTATAACAGTTTTATTCAAGTCTGTGTGTGCTCTGGTGGCGAGACCAGGCTGAGATCAGCATTACACTGTAATACGATAAGAGGTTTAGCCATTGAACCAAGCCTGCTTGGCGACCCTAGTCAACAATTTACAGTACCTTGAAAAAAAAAAAAGAAGCCAAAGGAAAAAAACCTTTAAATATTGTTGACAAATTACAATAACTTAAATCCCAAAGCAAAATGGGAATTCAAGGACATAGAGTCAGGACACACGGACAGGACACTAGAGCAGGGAAGGCCTAGGAATGAAAACTAGTAGCCAATTGCAGAGCAGACATACGAATACGTATGTGGACTTTCCCTTTACCTGGACTCAAAGGCTCTAATGGGGAGGAAAATCCCAAAGAAAGCTTTTTTGCAAACTAGATAAAACCCATCTCCGACTCCTTTCCTTAATCCTCTAGAAGATACAGACACAGCCTTAGACTACATCTGTGTGTGAACATGTGAGCGTGAGCGTGAGCGTGAGCGTGAGCGTGAGCGTGTGTGGGGGATGGGTGATCAGAAAAATCAGAGGAGAAAGTTGACAAGTTCATCGCCTCCCTTCTTTGATATAACTGGGTACCAAGGGCGTGTGGCTCTATCGATACAACAAAAAGGCAAAAGCCTGGCTTCGGGTTCCCAATGAGGAGCTACAATAAGGCTTCCAAATTCAAAAGATTGGGAGGGACATGGGTTGAAGCTCTGGGAAAGAACAGCAATGGGGCAACTGGGGTCGGAAAATAGAGGAGAGAGGCCCACAAGCTGTCAGTGGTCCTGGGAGAATTGACATGCTCAACCCCCATGTGGCACAAATCCCTGACAAATTGTGGAGAGGAAGCAGTGCAAGAGAAAGCAGCCAACAGAGAGGAAGTCAGCTGAGTGTGGGAGGTTGCAAATCCTGCTGTGTGACTCGTCGCAAAGGCAGATGATGGGTTAGCCACAGGACATACTCCTTCTGGGACAAGAGCCACCTCAAAGCCTAGGTGGACCTAAGCTAGGCCCATTTTATCCCAGGGCTTCTAAACAGTGGCCCAAAATGTGCTTAGAGGAAAATGAGAGATAACTTTGGCACCGAGCACATCAGCAATGTTGCTTCCTAGCTGTGTGACCTTGGGCATACGACATAACCATCTGAGCCCCAGTTTCCGCATCCTCAGGAGGGAGTCATACCTCCCCTCCATGGATTATTATGAGTCAAAATAATAATAATAATATAAACCTCTAGGACAGCACCTCCCACGTAGAGGAGATATAATGGTTTCTTATAATTCATTGTTAGTACCCGTGCCTAGGCCAGGATAAACCCATGCCTCACTCTGACAGTGAGGAAGAAGAGCCACAGAGAGCATGGCTTCCGGAACTGGAGGCAGAAATAAATGATGAGAGAGAAATAAAAATGAGAGAATAATAATGGGAGTGAAAAAGACACTGGTGGCGGTGACGTGATGGCTGACATTATGGAGGTTGCCTCAGGGCTGTGGAACACCCTTCCAGGCATGCAAGGGAGTAAAAACTCCTCCACCACTTTATTCCTTTCTGAAATCTGAGACAGAGAATGAGTATGATTTATTCACAGCTCTGGAAGTTCAAAGATGTCCCAAAGAGGCTTATTAAGAAGAGAATCAAAAGGGTCCTGTCTATTGTAATCACTTACCTTTCCCCTAAAACACATACATACCTCTAAGTGACCTTGGGGTTTCAGAGAGGCTGAAAGGAAGCTAGAGAACATCAAGGAAAAGTCACCTCCAATTACAGGTCTAAAGATGAAAAGTGTCCTAGATGCTTCACTGTTGTAAGTCAACACATTCCTGTGTAAACGCAAACACTCCCAGAGCGCTATCTACCACCTCACTCGGGACTGAAAGCAAAGGCAACCAGAAAAAAAACCCTAAAACCTACTTCACTATTCTGCCTAAGCACCACCATGATCCTGATGAGGGGCAGGCAGGCCAGGGTGAGGTGAGTGAAGTGCTCATCTTGGATGGAAAATTTAAAGAGGCACCGAAAAGACTCAGTTATCATGATAAATCATATTTCAATGCAGTATTTTACATTAAAATTAATTTTAAAAATCCAGGTCAAACACAGTATCAAAATTTTAAATAAAGTCAGGATCTGTCAATGCAGGTATCTGGGTGAGAAGGATTTTAGGAAGGTAGGCAACATATTACTTCTGAAACTTGGTCTTAAATTTCAGTTATGTGCTGAGCAAGTAGCACCATATCTATGGGGCCATCATTCCCCAGGCCCCGTTCTCATAAAACCAATCTGACCTCTGGATTCAGAATTCCTGGATGTGCACTCCACGTGTCCCAGTAGGAAAGGGCTGTCTCTGAGCCTTTGGAATTGTATTCCGGTGTCTCATTCTAAGACACCTACCTTGTTGTCAGGTCCATGCCTGCCAATCAGTCTAGTAAAACCAGGTTGTGGGTGTTGGCAGGGAGGGCGGGTCAAACCAGTAAGAGGGAAGATGGGTCAGGAGAAAGGCAGGTCTGTTTCCAAGAGAAACAGAGAGACGTGAAAAAGCTCCTGGCTCTGGTAACCAACTGGGGCCTTCTCTATTCTCTATTTCTAGCTTCGGTCTTGAGCTGAAGACCCAAAGCAAGGCTACTGGCAGAAGATGCAGGGAACCACAGACTAAGAATCAGGAAGGACCCGTCCTACTGCTCCAGATTAAGAAGGGAGCCCAACTTTTGGAAGAACAGATGCCAGAGCTCCCTATGAAGCCTAGAGGGGCCAGGGCACTTCCAGGCAGGAAAGAGACAAAGGAAGGGGTGGGGCCTGTCAGTATCTCATCAAGTCTAAGGGAAAATACTCAGTTAACATCTGAGAAGTCTATGAGAGGCTCTCCTGGCCTGCATAGCCAACCAGAAACCCAGGGCTGGGTCAGCCTAATTAGGCACCTAAGCCCTGTTAATTAGCCTTAATCAGCCAGGACGCCAGTTTCTGCCTCCTGCTTTCTTTCCATCGCCAATGTCTGAGGTGGTGAGTGCCCAGGAGGCAAAGCCAGGGAAAAGCCAAGGACTGAGGACTCCCCAGAAGCAAGAGTGTGTTTTCCTTTCTGATATGAATTTTTATTAATTTGAATCCCTGATCTAAGAAAAGAATGGTCTGTTTGAAAGAAGAGAGGCACATTTAAACACGTGTCCTAACAATAACTATAGCTTGACAAGAAACCATCCTCAGGCCTGAAACCACAGAGGCCAGTGGTCGGGTAGGTTGAACCCTATGTCACTGCTGATTTTCCAAGTGTTTTTGACCTATAACCCCGCAGCTCCCGCCCCCAACTTTTCTCCACAAAGGGAAGCAATCTAGCAAGGTGAGGATTATGAATGCTGGACCTGGGGCTCCAGGACCATACATTTTAAAGTTAGAAGGGCTTCATGCTTCAGTTAGGAAAGGCAGCATCATCCTCAGTTCATGGTTGGGCTCAGAGGTCCACAGA